TTTTTCATAGGCTTCTCGACGACTTCTCAGATGGAAGGCTCATGTTACTTGCAGATTACTTCTCTTTCGGACCTTCCTATAAACTGTATGAGATTTGGAAATTTTCTGTAGTGCTCCTGTAAGCGGAGTCAACCTGAGCTCACTGCAGAACGTTTCAGTCCCCATCGCTATACCGAAGGATGCCAGTTCGAATCATTCTGGAGATTCGTGATATGCGCACTGCTGCTGATGGAACAGAGGTACGGTGCTTCTCGACTTTTCGTCTCAGACTGACATCACTTAATGGGCGAGAGGATTGTGCGTTTGTTACTAGAAACGATGATTATATTAGCAGCAGTAGCATGCGAAATTTCTGGGCAACAGACAAGGCAGCAGCCGTCAACCGTACATGAGCAAATATGTCGATAACTTGACAGCCTGACTCTTGTCAGGAATTCCCATACGGAAGATGAAGACTCATTAGAAACAGAAAACAAGTGTTAACGGATACCCGCGTAGCTATGATGTTGTATTTGTCCGAGATGCTGGGGCCTCAGTGATAACTTTCGGGGGAACGACTCAGATTACAGTTTGTCCAGTCGGCGGCCAGCTGCTACTCAGGCGCTTGTAAATATTCCACCAGGTAACACAAGCCTGGAGTTGGACACCCCCTTCTGTCCCTTTATCCGGGCCAATCCGCGTAATCCAGGGTTGTTGTGTTTGATTACGTTTGGCTACACCCACCTAGCCACCGGTTTTATATCCGTATGCCTTCCTGCNGTGCTTACTGAGTTCCATGTATGGCTTCCTTTAAATCTCGATTAACTTGGCTACAGACCGATGGATTATATAATTAAGAACGTTTATCATATACGTAGATGCGCCAACCTTCAAATCGTACTTTAGGTACTTAATTAAACGTCTTTGGGCCTAGGCGCTGTTGTATAGTACCGGAAATAGTTCTGGTCTCCCATTTTTGGATTCCATGTTAATTTTCTTATCCTTTTGATGAGAAACACAGGTAGGCTGGAATTTAAAGTCACCGTCAAAACAACTCGAGTCTTGTCGTATGTCTTGGTGTAGTTGTATTCGCGTTTTTAACTTAATCAATTTGATATCTGCAGCAAGCCATTTTATGCCATAACAAGCTAAGTGGAGAATCTGAACGGTATTCGTTGCTTACTTGTTGAACTTATTCATTGAATCGGTGTCGGCCTCATGGACATCGTGATCTAATAGGTAATTTGTAAAATTCCAAACTTCCCTCAATGTGAAGATGCGAAAAAGTGAAAAAGTATGAAACTCGTCGTCCTATCCTTGCAAATATGATCTGATCGATGATGGTCGTTCAGCTGTAACAGCTTTTCAGTGCCTAACTGCCATCCCATCCGAAGACTACACGAGAGCTGAGATTATGTCAAGTTGTCTGGGCTCAGACAGGGGCGGTCGTGATCCTCGAGGTAGGATTGGAACCGCGGACTTTCCGGTCAGTAAGTCCACCCCATAACCAATGATCTCCATGCGGATATATTTGTTGTTCGCGCAATATATCGATACAACTGCATCGTTGAGGTTAATATGAACGTCGTACTCAGCTCCATCAAACAACGCAGTGGAAGTGAAATGAGTGGTCCACAAGTAATGCTCATATACCTGAACCGGAGTGTATACCAATGCATGAGGTGGATATAATCCAGGCACAATGTCTGAATGTCCTGAATAGTGGATCGCAGAATTAGGTAGCTGGGCCGGTCTATAGCTACTCCAGCACACCCTCAACAGACTGTCTGAACAATGTCAAGATATTTTTATTAACTATTGCAACCACAACTGATCACACAAGTTACTCAATCTCTCTCAGGCTGGGTACGTGGTGGAAACATTTTCCACCGGTGACCTATACCATCACAAAAAATGTAACCAAATGTGAACTGTTTACGCTTTCATTAAAACACTGGCAAAATTGTCTGCGAAACGTAATAGGCTGCATTTTCTCCCAGCCAAACGTATACGATTAGTTACTTTGTCCTGAATAGGCACTCCTTTGCTGCTGGGTGATAAGCACAAAATCCACAATCTACACAGTGACTTGCAATCGGAGCGCTTTGACAGTTTCGAATATAGGATCGTGTCAAACTACCCTAAGAAATAAGACGCATTTGGTTTCCGTAGTTGGACTCAGGACATGGAACGGAGCAAGTTGACAAATCATGTTTAGAAGTTGAAGAACGGTGTGTGTATGCGGAAAAAACGGCCTACGTTGGCTAACCAGCCATAGGGCGTAAAAACGGGGGAGACGAACTGGGCAGTTCCGGTTTAAAATTAGGCTACTCATGAGTAGTTGACGAACACTCGTGTTTCACGACTGCATCATGTGCGATGGGAAGTCAACATCACTGGCGTTTGGAATTCACGTAGGTCCGTCCACATGGGTCCATAAAGCCGGGGAAGCTGATGGGCAGACGTCTATCGAACCGTTGTTACATCAGGAATGGCCGATTTAGCTTCAAATGTATCCGAACAATTTCCACATTGGCAATCTGGAGTGTTCAGCTAGACTGTGGTGCTCACACTTATCGGCCTCCTTCAGGCGTGAGACAACCCAAAAATTTCTTTCCGTTTCACGAAGACTGCAACTAACTCATACTCCATGCAAATAGTTTAATCTACTTCTCAGAATATAATAAAAATATTTCATTTGGTGGGCAGTTGAAGTCGCATGAAGTTCCATTCATAAGTTTTTGAAAATTCGTGACTACACTAGTGCACTGTCACTCTTCGAAAAGAGCAGAAATTGAATAGTCGAACATATGAAACCAAAAATCCTTTAATTTTTAATTGGGCCCTTACCTGGTTCACTAACCCATTTTATCCTCGGTGAATAGCTATCTGCTTGTTTAGTACATATACAGTCGATCTTTATGGACCTTTCACATGCGGTCAAATTCATACTATCCCATGCAATAGGGGTGTGTAGTGGGTATGGTGTTCATTTTGCACGTCCATATTTATAGAAGCGGCGATACCAGCTGTCAGCGAAGGAGGGCCCGTCCAAAAAGGTTAACTTCAAAAACCGCGCAATGCAGTCATCAATGCCTTGTTTGTTGACCGCATCTGCTATGAGCACTAGCAGCAAGATTGAGCCTCTGTGCATTACGCTTGCACCCTCGGACCGGTCCTCCATTGGCTTTTTGTCATAATTCTGAGTCTCAAGCAGCATCTAGGAATAAAATTCTATACTCATACTATATTGTATACTATATTCTATACTCGTACATCAAAGACTCAACCTTTGAATACGTCGGTAAATGCCCCCCCCCCAGGCAACCGGGATTCACCATTCACCCGCACTGCCTCCTCCATGCCATCATCCGGAATGCGGGTTGATTGCATAGCCTGCCGATACGGTAGACCTAACGTGACAAGAAAAACCGAATGAAAAAGACCACTGACACCCAACCATGACTTCGCTCCCCCACCGAGTTATTCCCATTTGCCAAATACTCTCATTTGCATACGAATTCAGTTTTGACGATAGGCTCAACTGAATCCAGCTGAATCTCTTGTTCAATAATACCATCAAAACCGAATTCGTATGCAGGTTACAGTATTTTGCGAAATGGGTTTGTTTTTCCTCTACATAAATTCGACCAATTTAACTAAGTAACCTTAGCGGACCTGCAACTTCCTCGGAGAGATGCATACGAATCAGTTTTGACGATAGACTCAACTGAATCCAGCTGAATCTCTTGTTCAATAATACCATCAAAACCGAATTCGTATGCAGGTTACAGTATTTTGCGAAATGGGTTTGTTTTTCCTCTACATAAATTCGACCAATTTAACTAAGTAACCTTAGCGGACCTGCAACTTCCTCGGAGAGACAATGCCTGGAAGCTGAGTGGCTTTGCTAGGAGATATCACAAGGAGCATAAAGGAAGAAGTGAGTTCAAGAAGGTAATTATTCTCAAAATGAGTCGATGTTGACTTGAGTTTCGAACAGGTCATCAGAAATGTTTCACCTGTTGAAAGTGTGCGGCAAATACATAAAGTATATTGCCCGCTTTATGCTTTTGAGGCCTATTGGTCAGGTCGAAACATAGTTCCGGAGATTAGATTTATTTTCCCTTCCTTTTTGAAAGAACTATTGGTCTGCTTACTAAGTTGTTTGCAAACGGCTATCCCCTAATTCTCCCACTGCAACCTCCGCAACCTTCAATGACTTTGAACCAACCTCACAATGATGCGGGAAGTGATATACCGATATTAGCAACTTCCACCATATCACCTAACTAGCTGATCGTCCGGCCTGCCTCCGCACTGCATTTTGTCTGTTCAGTTACTCATTCGCCCAAAACTCAAGCGGAGCCGAGAACATGTGCGAATCAACAGAAAGTCTTCGCCAAATTTTTTTCTCAGTTTGGTTGTATTGGACAAACGTGGTGTTACTTTCGCGAACCACACTTATTCGCAAACTAATTTGGGTTTAACGGAATACTTAACTCAGTCGCAGCCGACTCTCTTTTTCTAAAATATTTTCCCCATTGAATGTACTGCACGAAGGCCATCTTATGTTTTAGTTCGCACGACAATCGAGATATCGCGGTACATTGTCCACATGGAAAACATTACCCATAGGACTGCTTTTGCAGAGATTTCAGCAAGTCGGTAGGTACTCTTCTCTCCAGGGTGCTACGTTATTCAGACCAGTCCCTGCAGTTTTATCACAGGCATAGTTTACTCAAGGAACACGTGGTGACACTGACGTTAACCAGCTTTGCAATTACTTTGAGCCTTTTCTTGCTTGTCGGGCCCACTTCTTTTATAGGAAAGTGTCGATCAAATGAGTACATCAAAGCTAATTGGACCCGGCAGTTATGTCAATAATTTTGAAGGTGTACGCACTTCGTGGCACTGTCTCTGGGATTATATGATATTAGACGTGGCCCAAGCGTTTCAATATGGCACAGACGCACTTCCTATAATATAGACGTGCTTGTTATCCTTTTTACTTTTTTCAGGTACGAATTGCCGTTTGACAGGCATGACTGGATCGTGGATCGATGCGGCCGAGACGTTCGCTACGTGATTGATTACTACGATGGTGGCCCTGTAGACGAGCACGGCCGTTTCACCCTTTTGGATGTCCGCCCTGCCCTTGACTCAGTGGAAGCAGTATACGACCGGGCTAGGGTAGCTTGGATGAGATTTCGTTCTCCAGAACCACCAGTACCTCGTGATCCGTCGTTGGATAGCCCTAGCAACCAAACTCCAGCTGTTTGAACCGTGATCCATTGCACTTCCTATCCTTTCTGTAGATACAGACAGTACTCCCAAGAAATAGGGTGTTTTCAGTATGTTAGTTATTGAACTGGAGCATCATTCTGTGGCCATATTGGACCATTGAGATCCTTGACTACATACACCGATGCTTATCAGGCTAACTTAGCAAGATTACTCGGATTTCTTTCTTATCATTATTTGTTTTGACAGCTGAGATGGGGGACTGACATCACAAGGAGACGAACTGGATTGATCTGGCCTCTGTCTAAGACGCCAAGAGATGATGCGAATTCGATTGTGTTACTTAATTCCGGGGGAATTATTAACCGTCAAGGGTTCGTTCCTTACTATCCTTGCAACGAATTCTCTATCTCAAACGAGGTACAGACTCACTCAGATTGGTTGGCTACCGTTTGCAAAAAACGCCTTTGAGTTCGGATTTCATATCGGATAAAAGAATAGGACATGTTATTATTTACAAAATGGTAAATAATAAAATCTGGAGGATGCTCTTTAGATGCGCATGGTTTTTTATCCATTCGCCGAATTCTCTCTCCATATCTTTCGTTAACTGATGCACGTGACATTTGGAGTCAAAAGGTCCGTTGGGCGTTGCTGTCCCAGAATCACAATAGACCAAAGTACCTGGGTAATGGACTATCAGCTTGGAGTGATCGTAAAAATTGGCTTGCCATCCGCCCGTGGAAAAAGAGAATATTAGGTTATTTCCATGATCCTTCCATCGCTGAATAAACACTGGAGACTTGGTGGCACCGGGCTCGCCAACTTCAGTAGCCTCTTCTTCTGAGCTTGTGTGGTTAGCGGATGAAGTCAAAGGTGAGAAATGCTTCAACTGGCGCACGAGGAATTCACATTGCGTTTGTACGTCTCCCAGATTAGGCAGTTTAGATATCGTGCCGCTGCCAGGATTCGTGTTTGGTTCAAATTGTATAATCCTGAGGAGACAGCAAGATAAGTAAAAAAAGTATAGACAGCAAGAATAATTAAAGTGTAGGTCAGTGGTCGGTCGTAGAAAGCAGCTGTTCAGATACTTTCTATTCTCTGCATTGCTGCGTGGAACAGTTAAGTCTCGAAAGAGAGAGTGCTTCTTGTTATAATCTTTCTAAGAAGTTTGCGAGATAAAAACTGTCAACACGGACACAGTTAACTGTCTAGCGAAGAAGCTTCAGGTCACAAACACTGAATTCAGCTCAGTTTGTCAGCTATGAAGCGCGCACAAGGATATGTTGGTAGAGGCTACTACAGTGTGCTTCACAAAAGATGGTAGTCTATTGGTGGCAATAGCTTGGCGAGTGTCCCCACTATACTACGATGAATGAACCAGATACTACTGATGCGTCTGTCATTAATAATATTGCTTTCATTTGAAGAGCATAATCACAAACTACCACCATGACAAACTTCAGTCCAAGTCAGACAAGTTTTATCGGTCAGCACTATGCAAACGAATCTGCCGTATCTCGGTGGGCGTAATCGACAAGGTTAATACTGGTATTAAAATCCGGTGTTATCTTCATAAGCCTGTGGCATGATGGCGTGACAACGCAATGCTAGCCGGACCAGATTTCGCTCTCACACAACATTGGCAAAGCTCGAAACGTGGGATTCCCCCAGTTTTGTTCAGGTGGGTGACACGAATAGTTGCAGATCTGTACTTAGGATGTTTGCAAGGCTCGGTAATTCCGATACAGTACTATGCGGTTAGCCACGTTTCATTTAAAATGAATTCTCACCTCTTCAGTAATTGGATGGTAACAGATTCCACCTTACTGAAAAGAATAAGTAGCTCATCGTGTCAAAAAGACAAAAGAAAATATCACTGACCGCTAATTGGTCACCATTCTTCACAACTTCTACCTCCAAGCCCCGGACAAGACGATGTCTGCTGTTGCTTTTCTTATAAAAGCAGTCGTGGTGTGGACTTTGTAGACGTTCTGAGGAAACGTACAACTCGTAATGCATCAAGATAATGATATTTTTTTAATTTCACACTTGAGTATATTTTGAAAGGAAGGAAATGTCGAATATTACTGACACAAGCACTTTTACATATTATTGTAGCAACCATTCCGGAATGCAACGGTCCCTCCACAAGCTCAAAAAACGACAAAAATGTGAATACGACCTGTTGGGAATACTGTGAACGACCATTTCATGGATCATGTTCAACTATGCTCGTATCCGAAATACGGCGGTTGGCACCATCATCTCCCCCTTATGTGCCTACATACAATTTCTGTCTCAGATCATTTGAGACAGGCAGTAAAATTTTTTCAAATTAATCAAATAAGCGAATTTGGAGAAAGATTTTCTGTGCTCCACAGTTGAGCAGCAATGTGGCTGCATTTTCAAAGTAAATTAGTCGATAAAGCCACTGATTTGCCGTAGAATTTGCAAGCTGATTTAATGACGCTGTTCCTACTAGGTAGTGATGCACCTTTCTTAAAACAGAACTGGCAGGATGGTAGCTCAAGATGCCAATATTGAAACACTTCAGGTCCCACGGGTTGTATCCTCCTCTCGCTGTTCATACACGTCTGATCTTTTGAGCCACAAAATCATGTGATGGATGGGATTCATTTTGCTTTCAGAAAGCTAGCTGGTCCTGGTTATGGTATCACTGAAAGTGAGCACGAATTGTGTTGACCGCTCTGACTTATCCCGCAGTTGAGGCGTTATCGTCACCCGTCAAATGGAAATGGTGTTATTGCACAAACGGTCGTTGTTGCGTCCAAGCTACGTAAACTGTCTGATCGTAGAGTGCAGACCTGGGTTCCTAAGCAGCACTTGCTCCAACCTGCAAGCGTATACATTGCCGAGGTACTCCAGTGGTTGAACTCGCTGAATTCGTTAATTCCTTCTTCGTCAATGTAATTCTTATTTGGCCTTTGCGGCACAGCCAATGATTGGAATAGGTCAGACTGTTTCTTCCTAACCTCCGTTGGTTTGAAAAACATCGTGGATATCTTCACGAGGTACGATGACCAACTTGAATATGTTTTTGAATAATACGGACCTATTTGCCACACACCCAGTTTCGCCCTTTGGATTACTTCATTCTTACACCTCAAAGATATACTTAGAGTTGAAACGTCGTGCAACCATTCGATCAGCTTCTCAGGTGCCGAATTGAAGGTGCTGTTCATCCGGTAGAGTCAGTTCGTTAGGAAAAATGCTTGCATTCAGAGATTTCCCAGTTTCCGGTACACTGGGCATGTGAGCAGTTCTTTGAACTCATGTTTAGAATTACATTGCCGTACTCAAACAACCTAAGTCAGACTGGATATATTTTCCCCTTACTTGCACCAGCAGCTTCGGCAGATGAAAACACTGACGTTCAAGATCAGACGATAACAGAAGGTTAAGTGACTGACGGATCAGATAAAGGCTGAAATCAGTCGACTGAACAGGATCTATGTCTGTATCTTGCTGAGCAACAGAGACTAAACTGATGCGTAAAAAGCCATTCAATTGCTCTGTGGTGATGGTTATTAGTCTCGTTCTCTAATAAAATTACCAGTCCGATAGACTTACTGACACTTGTAAAATCTGTTTTGACATGACCGGATGTGGTTCCTGTGACATTTTACCAGTAAATACAGTCCATGAATTGATACTTCAACTGGAACCAAACAGTACTTGTTTGTTGCGAAACTACTTCACAGTTGTTGCTAAAGCTGTGTGGATATCCTCAGAGAACCGGTATCAGCGCTTTTGAGTCAGTGTTTCACCAGCAAGAAACACCAGATTGATGGGAGCTAGCCGGTATAAGTCATGTGCGTAAGGAAAGGTTCTCAAAATATCGACTAGTTACCTGCACGTACGAACTTTTGTAGTAGTTTGAAAGTATAATTTTCTTGAAACAGGACCAGTCCGTTATCGTGCGGTACACATTAGCTTGCCTAAAGAAATCGCGCCTGACATTGGATGTCATCGCAAATCCTTTGTAATCGTTTCCTTCAATACTTTACGGAACGTCCAAAGACTTGTCTACAATGCTTAGCTTATAGAGACACCTGTCGCGCTATAATGCCGCAACTTCTTGCCGACGGACGCATCCGACAGGTTTGTGTGGGCACCTAGCTTTTCCGGTTCCCTCCCGTCTTCCAACCTCATGATCTAGCCATTCCTGACTTTGCGACTGTCGACCGGGAGCAAGGACGTCTCAACTCCCTCTCCCAAGCATCGGGAGATCGCAAACTCGATTACTTAGTGGACTGCACCGAATTGGCGTCTGTGACTGTCCTGCTCTGAGGCCATTCATGTATCATTATGGCCCAAGTGGTTAGAGCGCGAATTTACTGACCGGAAGGTCCGTGGTTCGAATCCGACCTCTGCCACTCGACTCTCCCTGTCTAGGCTTGGGCGACCTGGCAGTATCCCAGCCCTCGTGCAACCTTCGGGTGGCATGGCAGTTAGGCATCGAAAGGGTGCTACAGCTGAAAAAAAGATGTAGTCAGTCCACACTCATTCGTTTGTCATGCATGTTGGAAAATGTAGCATCATCCCGATTAATCCGATTTATGGTTAGGTAGTAGTGGTGGCCGTCCGACGTCATTGGAAGCCGAGGATTCACAATTCCACAGTCGTTGTTGCACTGCCATATTCAGTTTCCAAGAGACCTAGGAATCTATAAATAGTGATGTTTCTGGGTAACATGGACGATCGGTTAATTCCTGATTAAATCTATCCGTTTTCACATCTCAAAGTTTGCAGCCATCGAGCTACTATAAGTTGGAATAAAAAATAATCGGAATAGAAAGTAAACATACAGTTTCTCTCGCTGTTGCGGTGAAGCAAGCGAGCTTTGAATGTAAACGAAGCCTAATATTCGCAAAATAAAATGTCACTACTCTAGGGATGATGGTGTCTGTCTTCTGTGAATGTGCAATGTGTCCAGTATTCCGACTCACTTTTTCCCTTTGTACTTGACCAGACCTTGGCCAGTTTGATTGGTCACACCCCAAATTTCAACTATGGCATGAGGCTTTTTTTCTTTCGCCAAGTGATAGGTGGCACTTGAAGCGGAATAGAAAATTTGAACACTATCCATTGTGTAATATAAAAACAGACTGCTTGTCAACGCCCATCGTGAAACCCAGTGGAGCAACAGAGGATCATTTGTCGCATTTATGATGGTACTGCGTTCTTCTGCTCTGCCAGCGAGCAGCTTGAAGGCGTCCTGCGAAAGTACAAGGAACAGGACCGTTTTTAGCACTATCTCAATAGGCAATAAGTAACTGTGGGATCAAGATCTGGCTTGGCTTTGTAAAATCATTCTAGTCAAATTCAAATGTCTTTAATCAACGTGAAAGTGTCATACGCACTTACATGAATTGCTCGGCTTCCAGTATAGACAATATCTTCGACCTGTTGAAATTCGAATGACTTCTGATTGCCGGGCGACCAGATTTGAACTGTAGGATGCTTGGAAACTCCTTTAGAGCCAAACGACTGGTCGGTTTGTTCATCCGTGCTGTCCAGACCCAGGCTACCGGGGTGCTGTACGGGACTGAGTGCACCGATTTCAACGTCGTCCTTTGAGGTTCTTTTCACTCCGACGTCCTTTCCGTCCATCGGATCCCGCCTTTCTGCAGTTTGTTCACTGACTTCTCGATGTTCTAGTATGCGGACTGAGCGCTGCGTGTCCCTTAGAGAGTAGTGGGCGTTTGTTTCAAATTAATTTAGCAAAGTTATGTTGGATAATTTGATGTAAAACGACTTCAAACATTTCAATAGGACTGTGATCATTGCATCTTAATCGAACAATTTGAGTGTTAGGAGTGTGGATACAAAATGTTATTCTGAATGAAAGCCTATCATCATACGTAATACTCCTGGTCCTTCACATACGTCTTCTAATTTGGACACGCGAAAGTTTGTCTTTTTCCGGGCCCAGTTGCCTAATCACAAAAATTCTAACATTTGGGGCGTTTATTAATGCACGCACCTAGCTTTGATAGGCCAAGTTGTCTTCTGTGGCCATACCATTGAAAACTCAATGAATTCCGGCCAATCTTTTACGTGTAATCAGACAAGCGTAACGAGGATTTATCCAAGCATTTGCGTTATTTTGTGTAGACATCCAATAGTGTATTTCATTTAAATTCGGGTTGTCCGGTAAAAAGCATAGTGTGCCTCTAAGAATCTTCTCAGTAAGTCTCTGGGTGTCTCAAGAATTCTGCGCCAGATTCTTGGGTTTTTGTGCAATGAAGCTGGTACTGAAACACTCAATCCTCACCGCAAACAGAATGACAACAAGAGTACGTAATAGATTATGAACTCAGGTTCTCAATTCGCATTTGAACTATGTAGGTGCTATCTGCAGTTTAGTGTGGGAGTTCCACTACGCTATGGTGATTGATCCGACTGTAATGTTTTCCATATATGCTGCGTTTTGTATGCTTGGTGTGAACGAACACAGGGATTTTGGTGCTTGGAACGCCAAAGCGCAGTAAATTCGAAGGAATTTAGATCTTGGGGAGCATGTAAATGCTCCCAAGTAAGTGAGTTTGAAATACGCAATCGATCACAATAGTTTCACCGAGATATTTCAACTGCTTTGCTGTTATAGGCATCATCACAGAACTCAAAATCAGCGTTGATACTGATGATTTGTTATGTGACCACAGAGACGTTTTTTTAGTAAAGTACTCAAATGGGAAGAAAACAAATGCAGAAATATTATACCTTAGCCTCATCGATGCCGTGACTCTATACACATCTCTTATGCTATGACGCGCCAAAATGTTGACTACATAAAACATGGTCTGTTTTGAAATTGATAGAGTAACTGGTGTGAACAGGACATAACTAAGGTATGTGACAGTAAAATCATTTAAGTGCATTTGAATACCTTTCGACGGTCACTGATAATTTATCTCGGATTCAGTGCGCAGGGGATTTGAGCTGGGAGTAACTGCTTACATAGACACATTCCTAGTTTTTGTCTAATATTTGCAACGTAGTGAACGGTAAGCCTTTCTTCAAGTAAGCTACCGGTTTTCATTGCTATGTTAATTCGGTTAGCGCGCGAACTAGAGCTTGGCAAGGTTCTCTCAATAAGGACAAGGTCTCTGGGTTTCGTCCAATGGATGAATATTTTGAGAAATCGTGTTCCTTCTAGAGGAGATATTTGGGGCGAAATCCTGTATCCATGGGGTCCGGAAGTTGACTGAAGCAAGTCATTTTTCGGTGGCCATGACGACGGGATTACCAAGTATATACACGTGAAAGTAGCTCTATTTGAAGGAAAGGGTGAGAAGCAATCCGGATTCCGCAATTTGTTGGTGCTGATGGACTTGGCGCGACCGAACTCACGTTGTGAGCAAACGGATGAATTTGAATAATTTATTTTGGAAGACTTCTTTTGCATCTGGTCGATGGATATGAAAAGCTGAGTTCAGCAAAAGACAATTGAAGACCCTACGGCTACTTGGTATTGGCGTGCGCAACCATGCACATAAGTCACTCGTATTGTACGTAGTACTGATCATACCGGTCATCAAACGGAGGTCCTTCAAGCACGAGGTGAGCGCCATCCACGTGTGTGTCTAGAAAAAATTAATCCGTAGTGGAATGGCTGGTTTTGTTTTTCCGGTCGGCATACTTCACTGGGACACACACCACCCACCGGCTAATACATTGTTAATTAAAAACTACTTAAATGAACATGGTTGAAATCCTAACAGTCTCAATAAAAACGCACGATAATAAGCACCATTGGGAATTAAGAATGAAATGCTCGAGTTTTTTAACTCCTTAATGTGATCATAGAAGTGGGCTAACTTCCCAGCCCTCCAAAAGCAACGGGATCCTCTCGTTCAATGGACGTGCTAAGTTCTGTGAAGACAGGAGCTCGATTTTTAGGATTGTTCAACAGGTCGCCAAAAATTGAAGCAAACCTATGTTGGATCATCTTCACGCGTGGCATTTGGCACAGCGCCCGTTGCCAACAAGGTTGGTTTTGGAGCCACTAGGTTGCAGAGAATTCCAAAAAATGCAACACCCTTGGCAACGAACCTCCTCCAGTATTACTGAGTATATCGCATGACTGGCCTTCGAAATATAGTTCTTGCCTTACGCCTGCACAACTGTTCAGCTCCGACCCTATTCTGTATGAACTGCTCAGAAAAGCAAACGAGAATCTACAGTCTGTCCTAAACACCATGACGTCACTCAACGCTCCGCAAACCAAAACAATTTTGGGCAAAGTATCGTCTTCCAGAAAATTAAGTACTTATTATCACAGATCCGTCCTCGTGAAGTGATCAGTGTAAAGACGTACTAGTTTCACCGGTCATTCAACTCCTCCCAGATGGTTAAATCCTTCCTATTAGAGACCATTTCTCAAACATGATTACTCATGAATGACCTCATCGAGTGGTTTCTTCAGAGAGAGAAAAATGGACTAGAACATAAAATGACGTTGAAATCAACGTTTCTTAGACTGATATACCAATTTATACACGATTCTAGACAACAGCATAAAGCTGGAGAAAATAAAAATTTATAGTCATGTGCGGAATTCTGTGGAGTTCTTGAGTTTCGCAGCAGTTGATTTTTGCGATTTTATCTATAGTTGCTAACCAAAGCATCCAAACACTTCAAGGTATGGCAATTATGGTGTTTAGTTTCCTGATTGCTGGAACATTTATTCGGGAAAACGCCGCCCCACTTTCTATTCTTGCCCTAAAGGCTCGTCAAATTTGTCATCTGTTTTAAACAAAGAACTGACTTACTGAGTACTTTACCCATCAGTTTATCCACAACGGAGAATTCCGGGTGAATGACAAGACGATTAGGACCTGGTGAAACTCTGAACTCTTTCACTCTCACATGGCATTATTTAAGTGCCTCTGTTATCCGCTTACCGGCTGCCACTCCAGTTATTCAGTGGTTATTGTGTGCTTCGTTAATGTTGCCCTCTTGTTTAGGATCGGATACAGAGCTTGTTTCTGGCCATACGGGTAATTTGTTCGGCCATCGGAACTGGCACTCACCGTGTTCAGTATCTGAAGCGAGTAGCATTACCCAAAACGTGCAATTATGACCGAGGGTGGCATAAGATCTAATCTGTTTTACCTTTTGTTGCCAGGCTCTTACCACAACTACTGAGGTTTAACTGTGTTCAAACAACTTAGTCTTGCAGCAGTTAGTCTAAGTAGCACTGCGCTGCCTGATATTTTTTATTTGTGACAGTATATCCGTAAAACTAGAGAGGAACCCATGTTTGATACCATAGATGACGCTTAAAGCAGAGTTTGCCTCGAACTAGTAACCAATAGCTATTGCTGGGTACTAAAATGCTAACAACGAGTGGAACAAACTGGTACTTCAGGTTCCAGGTTTCTATGAATTGGATTCTAATAGAAGAAAACTATTCATCCACAAAATACTGTGGTTTTATGATTCTTGCCAGAAGGAAACAAAAAGAATATTTGAAATACTTGGAGAATTTGGAGTCCACTGGGAATATTTGGAATACTTGGCATCTTACCGAAAGATTGCCGAACAAAACTCCATGTCCAGTACCTGAGCTGCTGAAGGTCTTTCGACAGCAGATCTCTGGAGTAAACGAAAAATTGTATATCTTGCACTTTGGTGAAGTTTTGAAGGAAATTCATATCTGCCCCAGAAAAGGTTGCGACAAATTGCTCGCACTTGGGCTCCCGGTACGAGGTTGGACAGCGGATGAGCAGCATCTTCGTGTACCTTGCTGTCGGTATTTTTGTGTTGAACCAAACTATACGATCGGTGAGTGTCCGCACAGTAGGGTTGAAATGGCGGTCGTCCACAGAGCATGTAATAGAGCGTCACTCCCGCTGCCCAACAATCTGATGCCTTTGAGTGTCCTTCCTTTAGAAAAACTTCGGGAGCAAGATAGTTTGGGGTACCGCATACATGTCTGGAGCAGATCAAACGGAAAATACTTATAGGCGAGAGCGAAAACCAGAAAATTCAGGGGTGTTTGTTAATCTTTGATTGTTCAAGTGTTTGTATTACACAGTCAGGTGGAGCGACAAACGACTGTCGTTAAAGCGAGTAGGTCCTGTACAAACAGGAAGATACAAAATGGAGATTAGACGAAAGTGTAATTTGGTAGAAATTGAAAATTTGAGTCGAACAATCGGGGACATTCTTCTTACAGACTGGGTGTTGAACTGATTGGCCAACTTTTTACGATTGACTTGATGGGGCTAATAGGTACTAATCTGGGGAGTTATAATACCATGTATAAAACCAACAAGTGGTTGGTGCCGAGAAGTAATCCGTTATGCGCTTCGCGCTGATTTAAATTCATTAGATAAATGTAATGAAACCTATCGTGCGTCTCTTCAGTCAACAGTTTTTAGCACTTTATGCAGTAACACTCAGTCTCCCATCACACTAACATGCACAGTAAATCGGAGCCGATGACATTCCCTGTTTTAGGTCCTTCACAAAGTCTACTAAATATGAATTCATGGCCGATTCTACCATATCCACCCAATAAATTCAAATCACTATGATAAACATGGTGCACTGCTTTCTGTATTTCTGCCACTCGTACTACTTGGAATAAAAGCTTTGGACAGAATATCCAGAGATTTTCTTCAAAAAATATTTTGTCCCACATATAAGAATCCTATGGAGCTTTCGTGAAAGCACGAGACTCTACTATCTCTCTGTTTTGGTGCGAATGAATGGAGACAACGGAGTTAAGAATGCAACAGTGTTCGGAAATGTGTGAGATGCACTCAGTTACATCAACCATGACGCCAAGGAGAACTGCCATTTAATCCAGAGATAACCTAATGACTGAGATACAGATGGACGACCCATAAGTAGATGGAAATAACTGAGAAAAACAGCCAACCAAATTTGACATCGGGATTGACAAATCAGGCCACGTTTTGTGTCGACCACTTTACTGAAGATATATATATATATATAAATGTATGTGTAAAGTTGTTTGCATCAGATTTCCAGGCTCATCCGCAGCAACAATTTCGGCTCCATACGAGCTGCTTGTTTTGCTACCAATATGCGAAGTCTCCAATGGTCTAAACCCTGCTGACAGATAAATTTGTGTGGGCTGCCGCTGTTGACATAAGAGGAACCGTAAGTTTAGTACAATTTCTTTTGCCACTTATCCCACGCGTCAGATAGGCACAGCAATACAAAAGGATACTCACTGTTTGAGAAACAAGTCACCAAACTTTTTATCCTGAAGCGTCAAAGTGGCTGTTTTGCGGGAATACGAAATATCTATAAAATTAATCAGTATGTATAGTATTTTTATGGTCGGTATTTTCATCGAATTTTTGTGGGAATTTCTAGAGATAGAAAGTTGTTTTCCTATTGCACTACTCATAAGGTTGCTGAAAATTCTCCGACAGCCCATGACCGGTTTCGCCCTTACCGAGGCTCATCAGGTTGATGCCTTACGTATATACATGTATCGCGATATCTTGAATATCGTAACAACTGAAACATGAGGCAGCCTGATACACCATATTCAGTTGCCTGGAAACATCACAAACGAGAGATTAAGCTGGGTTCCAGGTGAGTCTCTCGGAAAACTGAATTTGTTTGCAAATGAGTCTATTTGGCCAAAATTTTGTCTTGTTGACAGTGTGTAGAATACAGATACCAATGACTCGGAACTATCATTTTTGTTTGAGTAGGAACCAAAAGGTGAAAAATGTTGATGCCTTGCCGCTGTGACTCAGGTCACTGGCATGTTCCACTGAACGTTTAGCATATGGATGAAATATAATGAAAGAGTGACGCTACTTCCATTAAAAGTGAAGTGAGTTCAACATCCAAATTATTCGACGAGCAGACAAGTCTACTCGGAGAATCTGCCCTTTTCAAAATGCAGTTTCAGTCGTGCCTAAAGGTGAATTCCGGATGTAAAAGGAAATGGCATCTGGAAGGTTACCAAACAGATGAGCTGACCTTCGGTGTCCTGTATGGTGGAAAGGAAATGCTTTTTTTTTCGGATAAAGTGCCGATACGTTTCACATACTGATAAGGGAAATCTTAAAACCAACATTTCTGTAGCATATGAGCAATAAATTTCCAAGCGTTTGGTCCACCGCTTGCCGTAAGTGAATTCACTGGTCTTATCGAGAGACAACCGTTTTCAACAGTCAGTTAAGTTGACGGTGTGTTCCGATGCATTTACCGTTGGAACAGTCCTCTTGGTGATAGTTGTTTTGAAATGGGTGTTGCCAAGGCTCAGCTGCAGTGTCTACCCCAGAGACAGCTCGAGATTAGGCCTACCGTTCACTGATCATCCGTCATTTTTAGCGGAAAATTACATATTCCAACATGTATGAGGGTCACAGGCAAGATTTCACTCTACAGCCGAAGTTTCATAGCGACATGAAAGTCGTAGCCTGCTCCTTGGTTTTGGTTGTATGTTGAAAACTCCACAAAAACTCTAGAACATCTTTGAGTCACAAACTGAAATAAGGCTTTTGAGCGAAAGAAGCAATTTGAACACCAAGGTAAACTTTCAAAACTTAAAACGTTAAAAGGGAGTATTTAGTGACTTTTAGAACTCTAACCAAATTATGATCGATCCGTGTATCCTATTGGAGAAAAACGGTAGATCGTTTGTACCATGTTATCTCCGGCAAAAGTCGGCTCCCGGGAACTGAGAACAAGTTGTCTATACGTCCATCGCGTCAAAAATGTTGTCTCTGTGTTATCAGACTTATCCAAACAAGATGCTCACAAACTAAATTGTTCCAGACATTTTCATGTATTTTGTGCAACTACCTTATTTAACTTAATCGATGTTACATGAACTGATGAAATTACTTCAAGGATCGAGTTGTTTTACTTGGTATATACCACTAAAATTCGCAAGATACTTTTGTTTTTACTTATACAACAGTGATGATACAATTTTTTACTTTTCTCGGGCCATATGTTTTGCCTAATTCACCAGAAAATGCGTAAAATGAGCTAGTAAGATATTAGGGACACAGCTGAAACGCACTTTTACGCATGATCTAGAAAGTGGTACATTCAAGCCAAAAGCAGAAGTTTCAGTATGGGAAATCAGTATATGTCCTCAGAATGATCCATGTGAGATACAATCGCAGTTTTCTCATTAGGCTCAACTCCGTTGAAAAGAGTCGCATTTTCTAAAACCGAATCATGATAATTCCCTCATTCTGAGTGCTCTTTATTGCGTCAGAAAACATGCTGTTCTCTCTACAGTAAGGTTACTAAGGAACGCACTTAACTGAAAACCACAGTATAAATTACCTCACGAAGTGTAAGTGAACAGCAGGTAAAGGGAGATACGCGTGTGTGTTGAGCTAACCTCCTCTTGAAAACGTTTCGAGTGCGTATTTTGCATGTATCTAGAGGACAACATCTTGTTAGCGGTAATAAAACAGGTGACTATGACGAAACTGCCTAAATTCGTGGCTCAATCGAAGCTCTTGAAAATCCAGTATCTCGGCCGATTTGCTCAGTACTAAACGAACCCATCTCAACACCTGGTAACATGATTCTTAAATCTGCCTTTAGGTGTTCTTCTGATCGTTACTGGGACCAAATGTGATAAGATTAGCTGATTACGGTAAAGATGACTCTGGGACAGAATAGTGAAAATCACCTACTCACTGCTGTGTTATATGAATGTTTGCACTAGACCACACCTCATTTGTGTACGAAGTTTGGCTGCGAGGAGGTGGATGGTGATGGGCCGACTGATACGAAATCATCGAAGTGATCATCGCCCCAAAGTGTCCTTGTTTTGCAGACGAATGTGGAATGAAGTTAAGGAGATGCGTTGAAATTCAGAAGCGTTGAATTGGGAGCGCAGGCCTACGAATCTATCTCTATTTAGCATTCCAGCTGTCGGGGCCAGTCTGAAACGAATCACCAGTAAAGCTATTTGCTCCCATTACTTTTTTTCTATTTTGTTCTGCAGATCCTGTGCGCTGAGCCAAAGAGTTTATACTGACCAGTGTAACAGAAACATTCTGGTAGTCTTTGGTCCGAGCGCCGAATAGATCCTGTTAGGTGGCGACAGGGCAAAGCTATTTAGGTTGCCCTTTGGTAGACTTTTGGTTGGATTCAACTGTTGGCCCCATTAATAGCAACTCTGTGGTACAATTGACAGTATTACAAGATTGATTGAGCGTTGAATCCGTGCGACACATAACACAAATACATCTGATATACCGCCCTTTGGGCACTGGTCCCCAAGTTTAAGCATAAATTTACCTTTCTGCTCAAGCAAGCATACTGCAGCTTTGTATGTCGTTTTAAGCCTACAAGCAAATAGGCTGGTAGGAACACCGTCTAAGATACATCTTGAACGCATAGTTGCCGACTGGCCCACTACATGCCATACAGATGAACTTCCGAATCAACAGCTAAGTGATGATATATCAGAATTCGCCCGTCGTGGTACTCCCATGTCGTCGCTCCACAACAAAAACCAAGTCATGTATTCCACATACGCTTGACATACGCTAGATAGAAGGTTGACCAGATTTTCCCAAATTTTCCTCCGTTTAACTGTAATCAGCTAATTTTCACTTCATTTGGTCACTTACCTCGCCTGTCTTACGCAACAGTACAGTTTCGATTTCACAATTGTTTCGCAATAGATTCTATTGATTCCGAAGTATATGCTGTAATTCACATAAGCGTCCTGTCCTCACACACTTCCAACCCAAATTTCAAATTTTAAATGTCGTTATCTATGCCAAACTTACGCCTTTTTGCACAGATTAACACATGCAACAACAAAATGTATCTTCAGTTTTGACAAACTTTGGTCTTTGCTGCGATCACAGGAAGCCAGCAGGAAAAGCTAGTTGCGTTCTTCAAACGTCACGCAGGTAGAAGAACAAACCACTGCGACGGACGATTGACGATTGCGGCTAGTTTGAATTATTGAAGCGACGCGAGTTTTTGGTGAGGCCCCTGGGTTTGATTCGGACAGTGGGTTTGAGACCTGGTACATGCACAAGTGGACGTCTGACACCGCAAGCTAATTAGTTTACACAGGAAATTATGGATGGTTGGTTACTGTCGCAAGACAGTGTGGTGCCTATTGTATCAAAACAAACGGGATGTCATAGACCCTGGTGCCTTATCGCAACGTTCTTTGAAAGTCGGATAGCTGTGGGTAACCTAGTGCATCTTTTGGGGCCGTGGTCAAGCCGGGTGGTTGACTCGCATCTAGTGCCAAAAAGCCGGTGAAATCATTTCCGAGATAGGACCGGATAAGTTTGATTACCATTAGAGTTGCAGGAGGTGATAACCGAGCAGGTACAAATCTTGTGCTAAATATGTCAATTTCCTAGAAGCTGTTGAAAAGAATCATGTACACTGCCGACAGCTTATTTATCATAACATTGTCTTTTTTTGCATTTCACCACAGCTTATTAGTACAAAGCGGCAGGTGCAATAAGAACGGGTTCTTATGAATCCGTGACCCGTCAGCTTATGGGTTTCACTGAACCGCATTGGTGTGAGTTCAATTGTACAATAATAACTAGGGCTTGCTAATGACTGCGTGCATAAGGCCAGTAGATAAAGTTTCCAGTGGGTTACCACTCGACATAATCCAGCTCATGGTAGTCGACGCATTGACAAGTATTTTCACAAGATGGACTCCCGTAGAACCCCTACGATATCCAACTTAGTCCTTTGTCATTGGCATTGCAAGGACTGAACGTGCACGGTCAAATTTGTTCCGACGGTGCCAACATATAGTCCCGTGCTTACTGATAGTGCAAAACGTGAGAACTGATCATAATCACAAAATATTACCTCCACCCTCACATGCAGTTTGACGATTACATAATTAGGTACTCATGTCATCGAGGAGTAATGTAATAGACCAACGTACAATGCGAACCAGATTGTGCATCATAACAACTTTAGTCCACACACAGCACAGTAGTGAGGTGATGTTTACGGTCGATGAGTACTTCATATTCAATAAATTTCAAAGGTCAGTAAGCCGAGAAAGCCATGATGGCAGTGAATAAAAGCGTGACTGCTACTGTGTTAGATTATTGTTCAGCCGCTTTTCTGTGTATTTTCTCAGAGAGGTCGTGTGTCAGTAATATCCATTGGATATCCAGATTTGCCCTTGGAGTATATGTTGACGGTAAATTAGTAAAATGTACTGGCTTTCGTCCACAAGATGGAAAATGTTTTCCGTCTTTTGTCAGTTGCACGTTTAACTCCTTACATGCTGTGAAAATGATTTACTTGGGATGAGTGAAAGTTTGGTTGAAAGCTTTTGGGATCGAAGTCGGGCTCAAAAAGCGAAAAAGCCATCTTTCACGATGCCTTGTTAGGTCAGCGAAAGCCACCACAATAATTTAAGCTGCGGATTGGACCACCAGAATTGGCTGCCATTCTACGTGCTAAGTGCAACCGACCTGAACGGAGTGGTTATGATGTCTTAGAATAAAAGGTATCTCCGTGTCATCTGTAGACCGCCGGGTCAAATCTGGCGATTAGCAGGACAAGGCACATCGTAGTTAGCCACGTAGAATGCACAAGTCTTTCGCTCGAATTAAAGCAGTCATCTAAAGTCATACGATGCTGCCAACTACGCTCATTTCCACTCGGCTTCTGCTTGAAAAACATAACTCCACCAGTGCCCCAAAATTACGCTGTTATCAATCAACCAAACAACAACAGGAATACATCAAACATAGAATTGACAGGACTTGTCACAGTATCAACGATCAGAAGGTGATGACCACTGGTAGTGTAGACCACCTCAATTGCGACACACCGAAGAACGTTCGCCATTGCATGCAACCGACATGTCTGATGGGGATCATCTAGTTGAAATCATATTTCTGGAAGACTCCTCACAATTGGTTCCTGATACTGCTGAAATGCGTGGGATAGAAGTAGCATCATTTTATCGCCGACCCCCTGTGTATTTCGGCCGATGCAGAATTGACCTCACACGCTGTTCATATGGGCCAACAGTGCAACTGAATTAACAATGTGGCGTATTGGTTAATAGCGCTTAAGATAAATCGAGTAGTTCAAATTCAAAATAAACCCACCCTCTTAACTTAGATTCAGTGTGATATGGATTTATGGGCCAGCAGTGTTTGAACCACCATTCTGCGTATCTCGGTCATTTGGGATGAAGCCGATTGTGGTGCTGTTTGCAAGCCATGTGCTGGTGTAGACATGACAGGGTAATTTCAAGCATAAAGATATGTTGGTCTTCAGTCTTCCTGAACAGAAGACACTATGATAAGCGTCGTTGGTAGTCTATTAGGATTTACTTTCCTCATAACTTTAGAGTTCGGTCCATCAGTTAGGTGCGTTGGTTTGCGGAACCATTGGAGAGTAGCCCCGTCAAGCGCCAAACATGCTATTTGTGGAACAAAGTTTCCCTGTTAAGACAACAAAACACCTCGATGCACCACGATCTCGTTATCTCTTTCGAAATGCGGTTGTTGCGGACACGTTGAACAAGATGCCGATAAGCTTCGGTGGCTTTAGCGATTCGTGCGTTCACTTCATTAACCAGTAATAGGTCCGTGGACAGTTAGTTGTCGGGGTAATCAACACCCACCGATAACACGACCGCACAAGATTTCACTCAACTACTTTGTGATTAATATTTAAGCACCGTCTCATGCTACTGAAAGGCAAAGTTTCAAGAAGCGATTGGACTTGCATTTAGTTATCACTGTTCTCTGATAGCATAATAGCATCGTTTCAGTGTTCCATGTGGTTAGAATAGCAATGGTTATTGGCAGCAAAAAATCCTTTAAATATGAGGTCTTTGACAAAACACTGTTCCAATCAAAGCGGTGTCGCCTGAAGCAAAATAACTACACTATGATTTTTTCGTAATACACGGGATAGACTGTCTTTCAAAAGAGCTGCTTCTAAGAAGAGATTAACTTGGCCTCTCGGGCTACAGAGTACGCATATCCCATCCCATCCGTGGTACCATGGCTTTGGCTGCACGGCTGGGGTGAAAGTGAGAAAAATACATTCATAAGCCGTCACTTTGGAGGCCAATAAAGTAACCGAAATCACTGAATCAATAGGGCCACCCAGTTATCAGCAGAAATTACGCAATCGAGCTGAAGGGCGATGAACATGGACCCAAGTCCAGGAGTATTGGCGTCCGAAATTTCCTCTCTATGAAAACTTTCTTTATGGGACAGTGGTATTGAGCATTATCTCAAACTACTCTGCTGACACTTTGGGAACTCAACCTAATCTAAAGTTCTTTTAAGACAAGGAAACTGATTAAGTCTGTGGCTGGTACCGTGCCGGTAATTCGCAAGTTTTTTCCATGCACTTTTGTCCTTAACGGCAAAGCTTTTGTGTACCTCCAATTAACTGGCCTCCAGTTTGGCAGGAAAACGGACTGACGTTGGATAACCCACAACCTTCAACGCGTAGCTTTCAGTCCCTTGGTAGCTGGGTTCCCACAGACTTTGTATATTCTCTTATTTTTGTCGGGGCGAAAATTAGTCAAGGCATTTGGCCAGTGTTGTCAGATTCATATTTTTTTATTAATTCAGCAGTGAGTAGCAAGTTCGCTTTTGTTTAACTCATTGAGACTTCTGAATCACTTTCGTTCCAGTCAACGAATTTTCTACCTGAGCTTGTTCTAACCACCAGTAAGGACTAGTAATCGGCGATCTGTGTGGTGTGTTCTTCTGTCATCCGCATTCTAACACCTTTTATACTGGCCGTCGTTTCCCAGCCGATTATCATTCATATCATTCTCGTTCAGCTATATCGCGTGTTTCGCGCTTTAGGCAATCGGTTCGCACTCTTTCGGTCTGGTCCATTTATTGGTCTGCCGAATAAAATCTGGAAAACAAAATCGGCCAGCTAAATAGGAATTGCGTCCGTCACGACTTAGGCAACACCGAAAAAACGATACAGCCTCTGGTTTTGTCGGTTATCTACTCGAAAGGCACAGAGATTCTCGTCCAGTTAATTGGTTTCATGCAGCGCACGGGAGGGAGTGTTGGTTATTCTGGACTATTCAGTAGTACCTTAGCTGCCATAGGATCGTACAGTTGGCGGACAGGGCCTTAGCCGCAATTCAGCCTGCCCCTGCTGTGCACCACGCTAGTAACTATGCGTTTTTAAATCAGATGATTCACTGGTAAAACCTCATGCAAAATATTTGAGTCCTGATTCTGGGACCTGACACTGGGACCTGACATACTGGGAACTGATGCTTTACCGAAACTTGGTGACGATCGGCCGGAATCGCATATTAAGGACTGTCAAGCCCATACGAAGACATGATTCACATGCCGGCATCTATTCATTTCGGAATTTTTGTGGGATATTATACATTCCAAGCAAATTAAATATGAAATTCTAACATTGTCTTTTTTCGACGACGTTGTGCATGTTCGCACTGAGGATTCGCAACCTGCGCCAAACTGTACCGGGCAAGGTAGACTTATCAAGTCGACTACATTTTTCCAGTTCCCTCAGACAGTAGGACAAAACATCGTAACCCGGATGTTCACACATGATCGTGGATAAACCGCGTTCGGTGTACGGATTTTAGTAAAACTAAAGTTTATTAACAAATGATCAGTTATGCACCTGCTGCAATGGTTCGTCAGCTGAATGCCGTCATACTGGAGCATTCATTCGGAAACACAAGCGAACTTAAACGATGCGTGGAACTTACTCTTTCTCCTCCTCGCACTGGAGCTCATCACAGGCCAGACCGAAGTCGCTTAATTTTGCCACAAATCCATCAGCAAGCAGGATATTTGTTGGCTTTATATCTCGGTGCACAATCCCGTACCTTTCGTGCATGTGGCTGACGCCACGCATTAACCCACGGAATACGCGTCGAGCAAGACTGAGTGGTAGCCCTCCAGTGGAAGGGTCATAAATAAGATAGTTCCATGAGACTCCAGTCTGTGGTTGTTTCAAAGCACTCCGGGTGACACATGAGCTGTCAGCAGGTCGGTCAACTGGGCTAAGGGTTTGAAATGCACTTTTCCCACCAGTCACTAGGTCCATCAGTGTTCCGATTGCGCAGAATTCAAGCAACAGGCAGACTGCTCTAAGTCGAGGTTCATGGTAGGCAGCAAACAGACCAAGAAGATTCGGATGAATCATTTGGCGCTGGATAGCGATTTCACGATGGATGGCCGTAGTTTTCAACTGATATGTGGTAAGTGGAAGAACCTGCATAAGAGCAAAAAAAGCGTAAACCTGAGGTTCCTGTGTCAGTCAATCAAACCGGAAACTGATCCTGGTAAGAAGTCCAAGTTGAACCATAACCATTACCAAAAATGGTATGAGATAAGCCAAAAATGTCAGCATCGTCAGAAATTTTCACCTAATTGTGATTGATAAATACTAATGTGTATAGACAGAGCAGAAGAGCGCCAACATGACAAGGCCAGATGAGGTAAAAGTTCAGCCTAAGAAGAGCGAAAACCGAAAGAAAAAATTTCCAGGAATGTGGCACAGGTATCTGGAAAACAACTGTTGAATGCAAAACAGACCAACACAAAAGGACTAATTAAGATCAACATGAGGCGGCTGTCTATCAATAAAGCAGCTATTTGATCAGTTTAACCCGGTTTGGAATTTCCAATGTGAGGATCTTCACCAGAGCTGCATGCCTTTCTAATAGCTTTCGTGTATTTGCACCAGAGTTTCTTCTAAAACTGGCAGTTTCGATGTTCTCAAAATCTACTGATCAAACCTGAAGACAGTTTGTACAATAGCTAGCCCAATACAACGAAATAAAATATTTGATATCTGAAAAACAGTGTTGTTGTCTAGGTAACTTATCAAAGTTGACCGCGAAATTCGACGGTGTGGAATTCAGCAAGTTGTTCCTGTGATAATTCGGGTTGTAGAAAAGCTGCGCTTGAGCAATATACCATGAGAATAAGTGCATGCGCACTGTGACTAAATCCCGCTTACGAATCCCCCGGAAAACTGAATAAATCGCCCACAACAGTTGCCGCTCTAAGTATGAGACTAAGGTAGACTTTACCTCGAACTTTTAGTGAATTTCAGAACCCCGGAGAAACCATCCAAATAATGCACCAGATTTTTAGGTCATTATTTCAGAGCACTTTCAGAGCATTTACCGAGATAGGGATTAGCTTCCAAATAAAGACATGAATATATTACTCGCATTAAATACGCGTTGAAAATTTTTTCAAAAGTGTCTTGGTAATTCAGCTGTCGAGTTTAGAAAATAGATTGTTTCTGATTCCAAAATCTATCACCACTGACTTGTTTCTTTTTCCGGCGCCTGTTGATACATGGGAGTTAATTTCTTTAGTGGCTAAACGTAACACATTATTCATAAGTTTATTCAAAACTCTTCCACACTTCTCGACTTCGGGTAGGCACAGTCCCAGAATTTCCATTAACTTCCGTTCTACTGAAACCAAATTGGATAGATTTTGACGGATATTTTTATTTGCACATGGATTGGACTTTGACAGGGGACTCACTTGGATCTAACTGAATCTCAGATTTAATGTACAGATGTGAGCGCACGCTAAAATATGTCCAACATGAGTTCAGGTGGAATACAATTTTCATAGACACTCGAAGACTGAGCCCTAAGAAGAGTGAAACCAGCCGTAGTTTGCCAGAGTTTTCAGCATCGCTATGAGTAGTATGAAGTGCGATATCCTGAGATCCTAGCAGTTGAAACACGAGGCGAGCTGGTTCAGCACATTTACTTGAGACGGAGCACTACACATCTGGATTCGTTTGTAGCTGTTAGCACAAAATCTTGACTAAATATCGGGCATCTGCTTAATATGCCGATGGTGCATCACGATTTATTCATAGCCTACCGGAGTTGCTGACACCATTTTAGCGTTTTGCTGTTAGAGGGTCAGGTTCTTTGATTGCACCGTGGCTGCATCACTAGTAACTGACTAGGGCAAGAAAAGTTCTCGTCTCACATTAATTCTCTTAACGTTAAACCCTCACCTTCTACTATGGAAAATGTTTGCTTACCCTTGAGCTCTTGCACCTAAGTATGTTCTTTTCCTAGTAGGAAGGATTGTTTAGAAAATGTGTCGGAACTTTTAACTTGTTTCTTAATCGTCCTAGCAAGATCCCTTAAAATTCATTCCAAACACATTAATTGTGACAGACTAACACTCAGGCAGGAACAAAGCCACCACTGTAACAGTAGTCCACAATCCCAACTGAATACTTGGTATCAACCCACTGATGCAAAACAAGATAAACTGAGAATCACCCATCCATAAAACGCAAATCCTTGGTATGTTTCTGTTTGTTTGGTGGCCAAACGCAGTTTATAGCATAAACATAACATTGTTAAACTTGTGCTTTTACAGTAGGTTGACTTTTGTTATTCCTTCGCTCTACTGTCTGACTTATGAAAGCAACACCAAGCTAAAGAAAGATGAGGTCTTAGCTAGAGTGACAAACAGTTCTCAAAAATGGGCATTTCAAAGATAGCGAGATGCGTTCTCAGGACACTACAAAACGATGCTAGATGAGAGTAGGTGTATATCCATGCAAATAAAGGAAAAACCCCATTAGCAAATTTGTCCAACGTAGGGGAAGACACTGTTATAAGTCAAATATCTTGTCGAATATTGATGAGGGATTTAAGCAGGAGCTATTTTTCCTAGAAACCTTGCACATGGAACCCAAACCTAAGTGTCCTCGTCTTTTAAAATTTAATTGCTGTCTACTTATTTTTCGCCCTACACTACCATCTAAGTATTACCTCGAAATAGGGGGGAAATTTTGAATACTTTCGGATACTTTTTTTGCCAAAAAAGTTACCATGAGGGGATATTTTAGCTCATCAAAGTTGTGAACCGCTCATAAAAACGGAAGTATTCAAAATTTCCC